CATATAAATAAATATTAAAATGAGTGAAGAAGAAGTTCTCTGATCTCACAAAACAGTGCAAAAGAATTTAATTTACCAAGTATTTATTAGGCTGTATGCAAAGCATAGTAGTCATAGAGGGCAATGAGATTACTAACATCAGTCTCTGCTTTCTTGAAGAATAGAATCTTTTCAGAGAATAAAACAAGTATCTAAAGCATTGCAGTAGCAGATAAGACCAAGGGATGCAGACCAAGAGAATACTGCAGCCTCCACTGCCCATTCCAGCCACTGAAGCCCCAGTAACTGTGACATTCTGGCATGCTCTAAACATGAAACACTTTACTTACATCATTAGCCTAAATACCCCAATGTGGTTTCTGTAGATGCTATAAGATGAGAGAACAAAAGAATCATAAATCCAGTTGCTTCTGCAATATGTGAGTTTTACATTGTGCATACGTGTGTGGGGTGTGTATATACATAGATGCACGCATTCACACATAATTTTAAGTTTTTCTTGCTTGGAAATGTAGTAAACGTTTCTACCAAGTGGCAAATAAAGACTAGTCTAGATTAGATTTAACATTAGGACCGTTATGCAAATGTTGCCAACTTAAGCTAATTTTCTAGTTTTCCTGTTGCTACTGTCCCATTTTCATTGGCAATACAAATTTTAAATATAAAACTTTTATTTAGTTTTATGTAAAATTTAGAAGAAACCGTATCACAGTGGTATTTGATCAGAAGTCCTGAGAGGGAAGACTCTTTTAACATAGTTACTATGTGCATTCAAAAGCACTGCTTTGATTATTATGCTTCTCAGTAAGAAAAGGAAGAAGCCCAGAGAATATTTACATTCTGGTGAGCCAGGAGTATAATGAATGAAGAGCGCTGTACAGATATCAGGGCAAAGGCAGTATTAAGTCCATGCATGCTATGTTCCCCAATATTATAAATTTCAGTTTTTTTCCTTAATGTTTAACTACAACATTGCTTTTGTTCAATCCCTTTGTGGACTTTATATATTATGGAAATTGACCATTTGTATTTAATAGGCACTGAAAAGCTGATTAGAAGCTGTGTGTACGAGTTGGGCTTGATGGTGGGTCTCAGCGTACAGGGTGGCTGGGTACCACCAAATGTTAGTGTCTAGAATTTTTTCCTCTAGGGCTTTTTAGTTTCGTCTTTTAGTTGAAAGACAAGCTGTTCAATCCTGCATGGGTAGCATATGCCTGGCTGCTGGCACTCTGGGAACAGGGTGGAGAAGGGGCTAGGTTCTCATCTTGAGTGTGCAGACGTTCACTCAGTCTCCCTGTTCTTGGCTCGGCACTAATATTCTCAAGTTTGGTAATTATCAGGTTCACTTGTCCCACAGTCCTTGACTATTGGAATGGGGGTGTGTGCTTTCATGTGGTTGCTCAGAGGAGCGGAGACCCAGGCATGGAGTGGGGTTCCAGAGCTCTGTATGTAGATTTTCAGTTAATTTTCCAGTTTTTAGCTCCACCCACACTCTCTGTGGTAACTGCTACCTTCCAATTCAGAGCTTCTCTGAGGATCCTACAGAGTGTGTCAGCTTCTTCTCAGCATATTTCCCTGGAAGTATTGAGGATAAAGAGTTCTCTGTTCTGTTCTGTTAAGTCAGTTACCACACCACCATCTGCTTTTTGCCTTAAAACATTAAAAAATAATTCCTTATCTATTGATGGACCTTTCATTCATACCTCCTGTCCTTTGTGGTTGCACATTTTGTTTTAAAAATCCCTTTGCTGTCATTTCAGTGTGATTTTGAGAAGCAGGGTCTACGGTCGGTCTACCCTGTTTAACCAGAAATCCGGGAAGCATTTGTTCATTGCTGTGTCTCTGGTGTCCGGCACATACTAGGTTCTTACATGAATATTTGATGAATGAATAACTGAATGAATTGAGTTAGAAGTTTTATGGTAATGGGAGGCTTTGATGGCAGAAAAATATTATGACTATATGTATATATAACAACCTAAAAAGCGTCTTTTAAATTGTGGTTTTGGTTTGACGCCATTCCATTTTTTTTGTTTTTTCCTCAACATGATCACGGAAACTAAGTGTTTTCCCTCAAAAAAATGAAAAGGCAGCCTACTGAATGGGAGAAAATATCTGCAAATCATATATCTAATAAGGGGTTACTATCCAAAATTTATAAATAACTCATACAATTCAATTGCTAAAAACCAAACAATCCAATTAAAAGATGAGCAGAAGATCTGAAGAAGACATACAGATGGCCAACAGGTACATGAAAAGATGCTCAACATCACTGATCGTCAGGGAAGTGCAAATCAAAACCACATTGAGATATCACCTCATACCTGTTAGAGTGGCCATTATCAAAAAGACAAGAAATAACAAGTATTGATGAGGATGTGGAGAAAAGGGAACCCTTGTGTACTGTTGGTGGGAAAGTGAATTGGTGTAGGCACTATGGAAAACAGTATGGAGGTTCCACAAAAAATTAAAACTAGAACTACCATATGATCCAGCAATTGCACTTCTGGGTGTTTATCCAAAGAAAATGAAAACACTAACTCAAAAAGATATATTCACCTCCATGTTCATTGCAGCATTATTTACAATAGGCAAGCTAGGTGTCCATTGATGGACGAATGGATAAAGAAATTGTGTGTGTATATGTATATACAATGGAATATTATTCAGCCATAAAAAAACGAAATCTTGCCATTTGTGACAACATGGATGGACCTTGAGGGCATTATTTTAAGTGAAATAAGTCAGACAGAGAAAGACAAATACCATATGATCTCACTTATATATGTAATCTAGAAAACAGCAACACCACCAAAAAAAACCCCAAGCTCATAGATACAGAGAACAGATTGGTGGTTTCCAGAGGCAGGGGGTGGGGGTGGGTGAAAGGAGGTCAAATGGCACAAACTTCCAGTTATAAAATAAATAAGTCATGGGGATGTAATGTGCAGCATTGTGACTATAGTTAATAATACTATATTGCATATTTTGAAGTTGATAACAGTGTAGATCATAAAAGTCCTCATCACAAGAAAAAATTTTTTGTAGCTATGTATGGTGATAGATGTTAACTAGACTTATCGTGGTGATCACTTTACAATGTATACAAATATCAAATCATTATGTTGCACACCTGAAACTAAATTAATGTTATATGTTAATTATACTTCAATAAAAAAAATCAAGTGTTTACACTTCAGGATGGATATATGTTTGTTTACTTGGTCAAGCACGATTATGGCTGTTACATTAGGCTTAAGATACACATTTGCCTGTTTATTATTTTTCTCTAGAGATAGACTTGTATTGAGGCTGATTTACGTAGCAAGCACAGTCTTTATTCTTATGGATGTATATTTTGGTGGCTCTAAAGAGACCTTTGGTGATCGTGCATAAAGCTTTCCAGCTGCCACTGCCTGCTCCTCACTGGCCGCTTGTGGTTAATAAAGTTTGAGAGTCATGGGCTTAGTGTGGCCTCTTATCCAGGTATGTTTTGCATTTCAAAGTGAATATGTGAAAATGAATAAAATCGAGCAGGGACAAAGAAATTCAGCTGTAAAAGTGAGAGTAAATAGTAAAATTAATATTTTGAACAAATAGATCAATATTCTCCGTATTCATAAAGGCAGCCCTGGATAACAAAGAGGGGATTGTAGAGAGATACAGGTATGGTAGAGAGCCCATGATTTGGCTACAGTGCTGGATCTTGGGTCTCGCAAATGGGATGCCTCTACCCTCCGTACCCCGAGAAATGAATAAATGAACATTTGGCATTTACCCCTAAAATCGATGATTAATTCTAAGTCCAAATAGTGAACAAGTGACAGAGTTGTTTTAAACTTCTGTGCATTTATTTTTTCCCAAGTATTTGGGACTTATTAAAGGAATCTACCTAGAAATCCAAAGAGAATTCTTTCTAATTAAAGAGGTTACCTCTCCAGTAAAGAAGAAAGAACCCACACCACAAAGTGGGTTAGTAATATAGTAAATTAAGAAAGTCCGTTACAGAAAACTCTAGGATTGCAGCAATTGGTAAGAAGTTAGGGGTTAGGAAAAGCGATAGGTGGTAAGAAAATTTTTTGGAGCAGATATCTTTGTAAGTTTTCTGGAATAAATTCTTCACACCTGAATGTTTTTCTGGTCATCTCCTTTAGAATTTCCATCTTTATTATTTGGTTGACATCTTCTATCAAGTTGCTAACACATGATAAGGTTGGTTTTAGGAAGAAGAAATTGAGAAGATAGAAGTATATATACCACAAAATAAAGGATGGCAATGGCTGGGCCTGGGAAAGAAGAGAGAATAAGAGAAGCAAAGAGAGCTTTAGGAATAACAAGTCTTGAAAATACGACCAAGACTTTTTAGTATAATTTTTCTTCTCCAGTTGAATAACTTCTCTAGTATGGTTGGTGGTGGGATTTCTGGGAAGAAATACAAAAAAAATAGAAAGCCAGGAAACTGTTTCAGACCTTCAGAGACAATAACCTAGTACCTACTTATAAGGGTGTTAGAACAAAAGTGTGTCATTATCATGTGTTAAATAGGAAACTGAGTTCAGGGTTCTTTGCAGCTAGTTTTGTGCTCATGTAAAAATGGAGTATGAACCTGTACCAAAAGCTATTAACAAAAATATTAGTACTCTCAGGACAACCAGATAATAAAATCTGTTTTAATAGTGACTGTGGAAAGGTCATGCCACTACTGGAAATTTAAAAGAAAAATTAACAATAAGATTATAACTTTTGCCTTTGAGGCAGTAATACATTTTGATGCTTCTCACTTTCACTTTATATATTAATGTCGTGAAATTTCCATCATGTTTGACTAAAAATAAAACAACAGAACAACAATATTTTAGTGCTGACCAGGTTAGAGACTTGAGTATTTTTTAAAGGGTTAAATAGAGCAAAACTGATCCTTCATGATGAAAGGTAAGAAGTCAAATGATATTTACAAAGCCCGTTTCTCAATTACTTTTTGCTGTTTCAGGCTTGTTTTCAGGCAACAGGACTCCTGTGGAAGATGGAACTCTTTGTCCGTTTTCCAGAATGTGTTTTGAAGCCCATCAGTGAAACATGATGCTGCTGCTCTGTATTGAAATGCCTGAAGAACCCCCACATGTCTGCTGCAGCCTTCCATCCTACTGAAACCATGGTCTTCTCCGCAGTGCTGACTGCATCCCATACTGGGGCAACCAACTCGACGTTCGTAGTCTGTGAAAACGCGTACATGAATATTACGGCCCCTCCACCATTCCAGCATCCTGGCATTGGTCCACTGCTTAGATCCGGTTTTGAAACCATGGCTCCCACTGGGATGAGTTCCTTGACAGTGAATAGCACAGCTGTGCCCCTAACACCAGCAGTTTTTAAGAGCCTAAACTTGCCTCTCCAGATCATCCTTTCTGCTATAATGATATTTATTTTGTTTGTGTCTTTTCTTGGGAACTTGGTTGTTTGCCTCATGGTTTACCAAAAAGCTGCCATGCGATCTGCAATTAACATCCTCCTGGCCAGCCTGGCGTTTGCAGACATGTTGCTTACAGTGCTCAACATGCCCTTTGCCTTGGTAACCATTCTTACTACCAGATGGATTTTTGGGAAATTCTTCTGTAGGGTATCTGCTATGTTTTTCTGGTTGTTCGTGATAGAGGGAGTAGCCATCCTGCTCATCATTAGCATTGATAGGTTCCTTATTATAGTCCAGAGGCAGGATAAGCTAAATCCATATAGGGCTAAGGTTCTAATTGCAGTTTCTTGGGCGACTTCCTTTTGTATTGCTTTTCCTTTGGCTGTGGGAAACCCTGACCTGCAGATACCTTCCCGAGCCCCTCAGTGCGTGTTTGGGTACACAACCAATCCAGGTTACCAGGCTTACGTGATTTTGATTTCTCTCATTTCTTTCTTCATACCCTTCCTGGTGATACTGTATTCATTTATGGGCATACTCAACACGCTTCGGCACAATGCCTTGAGGATCCATAGCTACCCTGAGGGTATATGCCTCAGCCAGGCCAGCAAACTGGGTCTCATGAGTCTACAGAGACCCTTCCAGATGAGCGTTGACATGGGCTTTAAAACACGTGCCTTCACCACCATTTTGATTCTCTTTGCCGTCTTCATCGTCTGCTGGGCCCCCTTCACCACTTACAGCCTTGTGGCAACATTCAGTGAGCACTTTTACTATAAGCACAACTTTTTTGAGATTAGCACCTGGCTGCTCTGGCTCTGCTACCTCAAGTCTGCCTTGAACCCACTGATTTACTACTGGAGGATTAAGAAATTCCATGACGCCTGCCTGGACATGATGCCTAAGTCCTTCAAGTTTTTGCCACGGCTCCCTGGTCACACAAGGCGCCGGATCCGCCCCAGTGCTGTCTACGTGTGTGGGGAACATCGGACGGTGGTGTGACTATGGAACTGCCTGACATTTTGGGTGATGGTTGTTCTTTATCTGACTGTGAATTTTCTTTCACGTGGCTTCTCCACTTACACTTCACTGTTTTTTATAGGGTTTGTGTGTAGGTGTGTATGTGCAGTGTAAAGAAAGAGTGGTGATTAGTTATAGTTCTGTTACCAAGGATACACAATAGGGAAGTGATCACAAATATTACCTCCAGGGTTCAAGAGAAATCCTTGATTTAGGATGGGGAGATGGTTTTTTGTTTCTTTGACTGATTTTGTTTTGAGGTAGGAATCAGGATTGTGCTTTATTGAGCCTGCAGTTACGTTGAATTGTAGGTGTTTTGTATGCTGCTAAGGGACGCTTAGTTAAGTTTGTCAATTCTTTTTTTCTGGATGACACTGCTGCTTTTTTCCATCACATTGGAGCCAAAAACCACCTACGTATCAGTTGATAAATATTTACTTTTATTTAAAAAAATAACCTAAGGGGGTTAGTGACATTTTAAAGGTCATTAATATTTACTTTGGTGCACTTTAAGAAACAATGTACAAACGGATTTGTCATATTTTTCAGAATTGTTTTTATACACGACATGTTGTGCTTTTGGAAACCTTACATTATCATTTCTAGGAAGACAGTTTTTAAGAAATGTTCTATCTGCATATACAGTTTTAAAGGAGAGAACATAAAAATGTAGAAATTTTTCTAAGCACAATAGTGATTCTTTAGAGCAATAGGGCAAAGTCGAGGAGACAGGTTACGCTTGCAGATTTAAATGGGTTGTAGTGAGGGGGTGGCTGTGTGGGCTGCAGTGATTCCTTTGACTCAAGGATTTCTCACTGAGTCCAGTGGGGACTGGACACCTACCATGTGCCAGGCGCAGTGCATCATTTTATCCTCACAGCATCCTGTGAGGTAGGTATTATTTTTTCCTTTTTACAGATGAAGAAAGCAAGTCTCAGAGAGACTAAAATCCTGCTCAAGGTTAGTGGTAGAGCTGGAATCCAACAAAACCTGTCAGAGTCCTGAGACTGTGCTGTTCTACTGTGCCACATAGACACCTAATTCATAGGAGGGACCTCTGCGTATCCTTTTAATTTTGTAGGCTAAAACCTTCTTTTTAAAAATAGCTTCATTTTTTTTTTTTTATTGCCAAAAGAAACCTGCAACCATTACATAAAGTCTGGAAAATAGAAAAAAAAAAAATCACTCACAACCACTCTTTTACAGTGGAACTTTAAAATCTTAGATAAATAAGGCTATAAGGAAATGAGGTGATTTTTTGGTTTGCAAAACAAGTGACTGACACTTATGGAGAAGTTATGGACAGCTGTATGTAAGTCTTGGCCTTGCGGGTTCAGAGGTTTCCAGTTGTCCAGTTGTTTCTAAACGTTCTGGGCAGAACAGCACTGTTGCCCCATTGCTTGCGAATAGCAGAGCTGGAGTCGATGAATGTGCTCAGAAGTGTGTCTCCTACAAAGACGCAGAGATAAGCCCTGGTCTGAGTGGAGAGGAAGTTTTAGTAGGACATGTCTGGGGTTTCAAATTATTTTTCTCTTGCAGATGATCTGCCCCTATAGGTGCATCCAGAGCCTTTGGTCCCCTTCTCTCTGTAAACACTGATAACACTTTATAAAACAGTCAGCAGGGATGGGGCTGCAGACTAAGGCCATAAGGGCTGAAAGTGTAGCCTCTTGCCTACATCATGGGCTTTATCAATAGGTAAGTTAACCATGAACACTTTTTGGATTTATAGCATCCTATCAGAATTTTAGTGCTTAATGAGCCAGGGGGGAAAATGAGCCTCTTGTTTCTTCAGTTGTACAACCAGAATTTGATTTGATGAATCTTTAAGGTCTTACCCAGTTTTAGTGTGCTTTTCTCCATGTGAGAGTGGAGATCTTTGAAGAGCTCAGCTGATGTCAGCATCACTCTTTGGTCTTTAGTATTACTTCTTTACATTTTACTTCATTAGCTATTTCTTGAAATTGAACATCTGAAGGGCACGTGGCACGGTATCAGGAGTTGGGACTTTGGAAGGTTGGTGACATCCCGAAAGACGTGGGAAACCAGCTATTAAGGCAATTGTAATGTATTGGAACTCATTTTCTAGTGAAAGAACTCTTGGGGGACTCAAGCATATTATTCAACATGTTGTTTTGGGGTCATCTTCGGATGATAGTTACCTACCTCTTTGGTTTCTAATTTATATTATTCACAGGTAAAATTGCTTTTGTCCATAGGGACCTTATAGAACATAAACACTGTAGTAGATACTAGTAGCACATCGAAGTGTATCATGCTTTCCATTTTCAATATAAACTGGATTTCAAGCAGATATTCATAGGTATATTTGAAATTAGACTTTAAGGAAAGTCAGGACGATCTGTATTCATCTGACATACTGGCAGTAGGTCTTGAGACTCCTTTTGTGGTTGGAGTTGAAACTGAGATTTGCTTTCTTTGTCCTTGTTTCTGAGCCGTCATTAGGTACTTGTGTGCTGCCTGGTAGCAGTGCATCATTTGGTGAGAGCTCTGGGGTGCCTGCTGAGATGCTCGGTGTTTGTGAAAGAAGACGACGAGGGGCATTTGTGAGAATTCAGAAGCAACACTGAACAGCAGTTCTCTTTACACTGGATAATCTTGATCAGATGACAGTTTACAAATCATTTTGAACATTTTTATTATGTATACATTTTGAAAGCTTTAAAAAAAAAGAAGTACCATGGTGTACCTTTGAAAAACTTAGGTGCGGAATCATATGTTTCCTATTTCCCTATATTTTCTTGAGGGGAAAAAAAAATACCGCTACTAATTATCACTGGTGACTGACATAATCAGAAATGTTTTTGTTTTTATTTTTCTTCTGGCTAACAAGTAAGAAGCATGAAAGAGATAGTGAAATATTTGTGGTCAAAAGAAATCCCCGATAGTCTGGAATAGTGATATTCAAACTTTAATGTGAGTATGTGTCTAAGTATTCCCGGGGGAGTTTGTTAACAATATAGCTGCCCAGGGTCCCCAGAGGGTCTGCAGAGGGCCCAGCAGTGCACCCTTTTATTTTGTTGAGCACTCTGCCTGATTCTGATGGAAATGATCCCTGGGGCACACACTTCAGGAAGCACTCCTGTTGAAAATATACCCATTTAAATATTGTCTGTTTTATCCGAAAATGTTGGTTTTGTGTTGGAAGCCATTATCTCCTAGTGCATGGATAATCTGCATCGAGAGGAAAATCTACGTATCATTGTGCCTAATTTTCTGCCACGTGTGTTAGTGCTGTGTCTCGCCAGTGTCAGCTTTACAACTTCTTTCAACTGGCAAAATTCTAATAAACCATATGGTTTCACAGTAGAGCCAAAAGAGCAAAAATATTTGAAAGTCATGACTTTCAGGAGTCTAATTCCTCTACTGTCTTCTCCTAAAGAGATGTCTTTATTGTGTGTAACCTCTTGAAGAGTAGGAGGGCAATGTAAAGATTCATCTAATTTCTATTGCTCTGCTTATGCCAGTCATGTTCAATGGAAGCATGAAGAAAATAATCTTTTTAATCTATGTATTTTGGTTGCTGACAAAGATGTTTAATTTAATTTTTTCTGGATCTTTGCTTTTGTTTACATGAAAATATTTATGTATATATCACAGAAAAATTTTCACTTGCTTGACATTTTATTCTACCATGATTTTTAGTTTAAGTTTAAAGGAGTGCTTAATTCAAATTTATTTTCACAACCATAGTCCTGTTAAACTGCCTTCATTGAAAACTCAGTTTTTATAATAATAAAAATATCAAAGCACATGTTTGTTATTACAAGTAAATGGTAATACATTTTAGATATATATTGGTTCTAGTCCTTTGTAATTAAAATTAATTTATTTTATGATAGAACCTGACCTGTATGAAAAAAGAAACGCTTTTAATTTTGGGTTGTTAATATTCAAAAATCAGAACGTATGGTTATTTGTGCATAGTCTTATTCCAAATGGGAAAAATGCTCCCAATGAGAAAGTGAATAAACATTTAACATTTCTGAAAGTGGAGTTTTTTTTAAAGGACTACTTCATCTTATCTTAGAAAAATTGTCATGAATAATACTTTTGTCAAATTAAAATCTGAGTTTAGTTTCAAATCCTGCTTCCTTTGGGTTCTTGTTTTTAAATTAGCTCTCAAAGTCTGAGTGTATGTAACTATATTCTAGTTTTAGAAGTTCTCAGAGTAGTTAAGGATGAAATGAAACTTGGCGAAAGACCATTAGTGTTAAGAAACAGTTTTAAGAAATTCTGTCTAGAAGAGTTATGAAAATTTTACTTATGAGTCATTTAAAATTAGATTGTCACTTGGCAAAGCAATGACAGTGTCTGCTCCTATTTTGATGAAATGATTTCATACTGAACTTCCATTTCTAAAATCTAAGGCCTTTCTAAAATCCACTTTTAAATCCATAGGAAATATCATTTATTTGTATATAAGAGTTTCAATTTTTTGCCAATTAGATATGAGGTTTTATTTTCTCTTCTTTTTCACTCATATGCAATAGCTAAATATATTTCTTCTTTTTGTTATAAAAGAAGGTTGATTTACCAAAGAAGGTTGTCATTGAATCAACGTTTGATAGTTCCTCCTGAAACAAAAAAGTAAGAGAGATATAGCCAAAGAGAGGAACATGTTGAATTAGAAACATTTTCCCGCTCAACTCATTCATAATAAAGAGAACCTTTAGGAGCAATTTGTACCTTAAATCAAGGTGCAGTCAATTAGATATAATGCAAAAAGAAAAAATAACCACTTCATGGCTGTATCAGTGTTTACAGAGAAACAGAACTAGTGGAAGATAATTATCAAGAGATTTATTGCAAGAATTGGCTTACGTGATTGTGGGGCTGGCTAGGTAGATATGACATACAAAGGGCATGTCATCAGGCAAGGCAGGCTGGAAATTGCAGGCACAGCCTGAAGCTGCTGTCCGCAGATGGAATTTCTTCTTCCTCAGGGAAGCTTCAGTTCTGCTTTTAAGGCCTTTCAATTGATTGAATCAGGCCCACTCAGATTATGTAGGATAATCTCTTAGTTAATATGGACTGATTATGAACTTTTATCACATCTACAAAATAACTTCACAGCAACACCTAGATTGGTATTTGATGGAATAACTGGGGGCTGTCCCCTAGCCAAACTGACACATCAAAAGACCATTAGAATGGCAATATCCAAATTTAAAATATAACAAAATCCTTCTATGATGCTGTAGTTCTGGTCCAAAAAATTCAATCACGTAAATCTCAGTGTTAAGGTTAGTAAAATAACCAAGAATAGGCTTGTTACAGAGGTTGGGATACACATTCTAATTGCGTTATATTCAAATTTGCATAATCACAGGGCACAATATTTATCTCTGTTTTTCACTGTATCTGTTTTTAAACTTCTCAAAAGGGACTAATAATCAATTGACCAGATGATTATGTAAACCAGCTTCCTTTCTATGTAAGCTTTCATTATTTGTAATACTTGCCAAGGATGAAGCCTTTCTTCTGAGGAATTTGAAAGCATTTATAGTTATAACTTTAACTCTCAGCATAAATGTATGCTGATAGTAATAATAATAATAATAGGTGCCATGTTTTTGGCCACTTATTGTAGTCAAGATACACTTTATCTATTTTAATTCACAATATTGCTTCCCTTCTCCAAATGAGGAAAATATGATCCCAAGAGATTAACATTTTCAGGCATAGCTTGGATTCAAATCTAGGCCTAACGCCAAAGTTCATATTTTTTTTAGGCCACCTTGCGCCTATTATTCTCTGGTAACAGAACTGAGCCCCTAGTGAGAAGAGCTTACTAAGCCT